CCTTAATCACTTGATTATTATGGTGAAAATTGCTAATAGCAGCCTTTGGGCAAGTCTTTAATCCACAAGTCCTACACGGACTATTATAAAAAACATCATGAGTGCCCTGCACATGCTATTATAAGAAACATGTCATGCATACTCCTCCAGGTTCAGAAGGATCCTCTTTTTAATCTAGTAAAGACAGAAGACCAATGGAAGTTCTCTCCAAAGGATCTAGTTCTCATGGCAGGAGTTCACAGGTCAGAGATTTCTCTCCTTGCTCAGTTGAGGTGAAGGCTAATGTATTGATTACCTTAGGTACAGGAAAGATAAAAGCAGGGAGCAATAGAGAAGGGGATCCTTTGGAAGTCAGAACTTGTCAGGAGCAGAAAACTTGGGAATATCTATACAGAAACTACTTAATTCTTTTTTCCTATGGTATTCAAGGTGAGGGAAAAAAAAGACCTGTTAATTCATCAGTAAAACAAAATCATACGGACAAATACACAAAGTTCATATTATCAGTGTCTTCTCCAAATGGAAGAACCATAGCAAGTAATAAGTAAGCTTACAGCTGACAGCTTAGCTCACAAATGGAAGAAGAGCTAGGGTAAAAAACATTTTAATATTCTGCAAATTGCAATTTAGTTTCTTTACTGTAAACTGTAAAAATGTAACTGCCAACATTTATAATGAAATCTGAACCACAATAGCTTAGTGGTCATGGTGATCCCGACACAGGCTGTTTACAGAGTGAAAACCTTCATTCCATGTGGTGCAGCTACACATCCCACCAACAGTTGAAAGCTCTGCTTTAGAAAATCCAGACTAGCAACCTCCTGTCTTCCTACTGCCACTGCTTCCTACTCCTTCCCACTGCTTGATTCACTTTCCAGTTTGACTACCGCTCTCCCTCCCAGCACACTCGGAGGTAAAAGGCATCTTAAACTACACACCCATCCGTTGGCAAGGAGTAAGTGGGGTGATGGTGCCAGCTCTCCTTACAGAGGAGCTGCTATGGGTCTGCCTTGGCTGGGCAGTGCAGGGGAGAGCCCAGCAGAAGGAGCCGAGCACTCCTGCCTTGTCACGAGCACTGGGAATCCCTCAGAGAGGAGCCTCTGGGGTGGGAGAGCTGTTTGCTGCACTACAGCAACGCTGCGGAGCTCTGGGCACCTTCGACTAGTTCTGCACTGAGAGAGAGAGGAGTGAAGGGTCATAAAGGGGAAAAAGTCTTCAATTCGGCCTAAGAGGAGGAAGTGACTATGGGTCCTCCTTTTTCCTAAGGATCAGGAGAGGCCCTTCTGCCCCTTTGCAGCAGCGTTTGGTACATCCCTTTTGCACAGAAAGACCTCTGGGCTCAGACTGCCTCATTTTTCCCTGTTCTCAGACACTGGCCCCTAGCAGGTGAAGAGGGCTGAACTGGAGGGACCACAGGCGCAATTCCAGGCCCCTGACCTGCAAGATCCTCAAGCCCTGCCTCACCAGCTCGCAGAGAGCTCGCCCAGCCTGGAACCCATAGGCTGCTGCTCCAAACGCACCTGCAACACAAGCAGAACAGGCCTGGGCTGACTTGGCTTCCTCCCACACCCCCAGACACCCAACTACAGCTAATGGTCACCCCGTATCCAGACATCTCTCCTTACTCTACTGCCGTCTCTGCCAGCTTCAAAGACACAAATCCCCGCAGGCCGAATTTCCCTAATTAGCAAAAGGCCATATTTTTTTCTCTATTTTTCCATCTTCAAGTTCTGACGCTTTCTGCCAACTTTCTGCCTGGCGTGAATTTCTACAACAGAGCAATAAACTTCTGAAAATAGACACTTAACTGGAAAACCTGGCACACCCTATAGGGAGCCTATGAGTGGCAGGGCCATAATCAGCAGGCAGCCAGGACACCAGGCCATGCTGGCAGCTTTCAATTAAAGCCCTGCACGAAGCAGCCCAGCAGCCCAGAGAGAGGAAAGTAAATGGGAGCTCCATAAACGCTCCTGCATAGAGCCCTCAGGCTCTTTTCATCATTGAAAGGCATCTGAGTTTGTACTCTTTAGGGTAACCATAGTTCAGGCAGGTTGTTCCAAGTTAGCTCACATGCCCGGAATCCCTTTAAAGAATAAAAAAGATAATGGAAATAGCCAACCTGCTAGGATTTCCTGCTATGAAACTGCATGCAAAGCCTATGGGAGGAGGAAAAGCCTGTAGACTTGAGATACAATTCCCGGCTCTGCCTGTCATTAACAAGGGTGGATTTCTTTCAGAGCAAAATTCTCCTGGGCCAAATAACAGGAGTCTGATAAATAAAGCTTGTCAACTGGCCTCTCTGACTCACTCTCTCCTGCTGGAAGGATGAGTCACTGTCATGTGTGAGAGGCTGCCAGGTCTTGCTTACATGCTTAAACAAGCATGGGTTGTGTGTGTTGCACATACATCACCTCAGAACAAGCAGGCAACGCTGAGAAGGCAATCCTGGAAAGGACTCTGCTGACTAAAGGAGCTGAGCTGCAAGCCATTTCTCAACGCGTTGTGGAAAGTTCAAGGTTATTGCTCGATTACCGCCGAAAACTTCAGCCCAAAGCCATGGCTGAGGGCTTGGCTGACAAGCACAGCTTGTTAAAACCCGGCCTTGCTAGGACTATCAGATCAGATTTCAGCAGGTAACTCCCGTAGAATGAGTCAGACGGGCTGTTCTTGATGCAGCCAGAATTAACAGAACATGCAGCTTAGCGAGCTGCTTTTGGCTCAAGGGATAAAAGCTTGCCAGGCAAGCACTTGTTGAGCACTTTTTTTCAGGAAAAGAAAGTACTCCCATGGGGGCTACTCCTTTCGGAGGCTGTGAGGAACATGCCTTGAATGTGGAAAGGGACGAACATAACTGCTGAACATCTCCATCTGAGTAGCTCACTGGCTGCTTTTGAGCAGCTCTGGTGGTTGCTCAGTGCCTCCTTCTCACCTTAGTGCCATGGGCCTTGCAGGTAAGTGACAGTGCTCAAAAGCCTCCTTCACATCCAGCAGCACCCGCGCGTGGGCTCCACCTCGCTCTTCTCCTGACAGGGCAGGCAGCCCAGCACCCACCACAGGCAGACAGATGCACGGATATCCGTGAAATCTCTGCCCCAGCACCACAGGGACTGCTCACAACTCCCCGTTCTTCACCACTGCCACAGACTGCATTGCCCTGCACGACTCACGTGGCAGAAGACACCCTGCGCTCATACCCTTCTTAGCACGTACCAAGGCGAGACACTCTGCAAGGACAATACACAGCAGGTTGGGACGCCAACCTCGTTCTGCCCAGAAGGCAAATCCTCAGGTCAGAGCAGTGTCACACCTAGAAAGCCAAAGCCACACATCCCTTTGCACATACACGTCTCCTAGCTCAGGAACCAGAAGGCTTGACCAAAGAGCAGGAAAGGAAGCCTCGTGTAGCCTCCCTCTGCCAACATCTTGTTGCATCATTCAGAGGGGACACCAAAGTGCTGCAGGGCAGTGATACCGCCCTTGCCTCCCACATCTTCAGCCAGGGATGTGCCATGCCAGAGCCGCTCACGCAGCTGCAAGGGCAGTTGCACGTGCTTTGGCCCAGCCAAGCTTTCAGGAAACTTCCAACTGAAGTGCTCTCAAGGTCTTCTCACCACTCCTGAGACCACGTGGGCAAAGGTGTAGTCCACAATATGTGACATTCCTAAGCTACCTTCCCTTATTATTTGTTGCTACAAAAAATCAAGCTTCAAACTCTGAATGGGTTGTGAGACAAGGGGAAAAAGACATGGACATTTGGCACCTCTCCTGTTTACCCCAGCAATGGCCTGCTTTTCATGAGAAAAACATTTCCCTGTGTCTGCCTAAACTTTTCACTATCCTGCCCTCCCAAAATGAACGCAAATGCACAATCCAGAAATGTTAGTTTTGAATAAAAAGTGCAACATTCCAGACCATGTACATGAGAAAGACACAGCAGTCTCTCTGCTCTTTTCTATTTTCTTTTTCCTTTGGGAAAGAAAATGTGTTCTCCATCCCACAAAACTTAAATATTTTTTGCTCTATATCAAGACAAATGTCTGATCAAAAGCTTAAAATGGAAACTGCAGGCCACAACAGACCCATCCTACAGTAAAGGCACTCACCTGGCACAAGGAAAACAAGTGTAGGCCACAGTGATATTAATGTGCTGAACTTCCAAACCAGCACTAAGGCATCAAACTCTTGCTCTTAGCAATGATCAAAATATTACTTCACTGTTTTCACTGTCCATTATTTTTTCATTATGACAAGCCAGGATTTCATCCTAAGTCTTCCTCCTGATGATAATGATTAACATATATGGATACTTTCATAGGTAAACTCATATCCTTTCTCAACACAAATTCATTTTAATTCAATTTACTCACATCCCAGTTGTGCATTTTAAGTTTGTATTTCTAGGATCTGCATTCCCAATCATGTAAAAAGCAATGAGGAAAAAAATCAAATTATATATCATTGGAAAAATAAAATAAAATAAAATGAAGATTTGGTTGACTCTTTAAATAACAGTATTCTTCTTAACTATATTCTTTTCATGGTGGATGATAAATCAGGCTAGATATAATGGAAATCAAAAAGGAGCAAATATTTTTTTTAAGATACAAAAGGAACTTCCTTTAAAAACAGAGTTTCAGTAACTTTTAAACTAAGTATGTTAAGTCTCCTGGGAAATCAACATCATCATCAACAGCAATATTCATCTGCAGGTGTCAAAGAACTCTGCAAGATAAGTAAGCGAAATAATCATTTTAAAAAAGGTGCAACCAAGGCATTAATTTGGGGGCGGGGTGGTGGAATTCAATGATTTAAGCTCACTGAGTAGGTTGGTGACAGAACCAAGCATTACAGTCTAGGTCTTCAGCCACCTAGTCTGGAACCACGTGTGCTAGACTACCCCGCCCCTGTCAAATGATTTAGGCTTTTTGAGCTGCAGGTTCAAAGTTGTTTACTTAACCATGTGAAACTTTGGCACTCAACACAAGAAGGTACCAGTTCTGCTAGACGCTCTGATGATAGTCAGCTTCTGTCATTGTTCTTGAGATGACACTGCTCTGGTTACTAAGCCGGCTCTGAGGGCTTCTCAGAGTTGTCAAACTCAGGTCATTTGAAGGGATGGAGGATCCACTCTTTTTTATTCCTTCGTCATCCTCTTCATCTTCCATCATCCCGATGGGCATGAGCATAATGGGATTTAACTCACTACGATGAGCTCCAATAATGCCCACCCTGTTACAAAAAATAGTTTTAATACAATTGACACAACGGAGCAAAGGAAAATGGGGTAAGGCAGATCAACTTGTATTTTTTCCTGGGTAAAACAGCAAGGAGCTTTGCCTCCTTTTGCTAGTCTGCAGATAACACATTAGGGAGAAAATATCTGCTTGCCCAAGGAAGAACAAATAAGCATGGTCATACACTCTGTGCTCTGCATACCATGTCACGCTTCTCCTGGAGTAGGCACACACGCAACACACAACACACATTTGTCCACGTAAAGTTTAGCACTTCCTGGAAAGGTTGGCCCTATTGCATATGCATTTACGAGCCATGTACATGAGCTGTAAAGTCAACATGTTCAGGATGCACCCAGCTCCAAAGTAAAAAGCAATTACATGTGCATTTGCAACAGACTCCCTTTCTCAGGAAATATTGGACCCACTGGTCATGTGTTGTACTTGTGTCCAAGATTTCTCATGTGTAGTATAGTAGCTCCCATTAGTTTACCAGAAATCAGGAAGGTCCACACAAATTTTGGATGTTCTCGAATTATAATTTCCAGGCAGAAAAACAAGACTTACTTTGGAAAGCTTTAAGGGTAGTCCTACATACACTCCAAGAGAACAAAACCGATTTACAGTGGTCTTGCTTACACGAGTATTACATACAAAAAATATTGAGGTGATACTGCTGTTATCCACGGTTAGATGAAAAAAATGGAATTACTCTTTCACGGGTTACCAAGGCTTGAAAAACTGGCTTTTATCCTGAATCAGAAGTAAAAGCTCTCTTTTACAATAAGCTATTACAACAGAAGTTATATTTTGAAAGTACATTGTAGTAACAAAATTAGTTTGTCAAAATAAAACATCAATAAATATAAGCTAGAGAGAAGTCACATAAAAATAAGAATTTGCAATGAATCATGAGTGGAAAAAAATTGATTTAAGAGCTTTTGGTTGGTTCTTTTTCAATGTTATATTAAAACATATTTCTTTTTCCCAGAAAAAAAATGTTTCACTTTTTAACAAAACACTATGATGGATGGTAGCCTCTTTTCCATCAATTAGCCAAAAGTGCTATCACTACCAGTTCTGGCCTAGCTCGTGCCTGTCTTACCTACAATACAGTTGCTCTCTAGCTACCTTGCAGACAAATTCTCAGTCCATTGGCCCCTCTCTCGGGGAGGAAGAGCTGGCCATCAGATATCCTTTTTAAAAGCACAACCAAATCTACTTATGCACAGAAATAGCCCCTTACTTGGTAGTGAATAATTCTGAGAAGTCTGGCAAGTCTTTCCTCTTGCAAGGCTGAGGGGTTTTGCCCCGACGGTAGAGTTGCTTCTGGAAGAGGTGCTGAGCACTGTCCTTTGGTAAGGGCAGCAGCGTGCTGAGCACCGGTGAACGCTGCTGGGCCACAAGATTTATAGAGGGTCGTTTTCTTGAAAGAAAACAAATGCAGCTGTTATCTGAGTTTGCTGGGACAGCAGAGGTTCCCTAAAGGCCCACTGGAGTGTCAGTTATGTACCTGTGACATGGAAATCTCACTTTCTTTGCATCAGCTGTCTGGTCTCCCGCTTTCTGCAAGTTAACATCTTTCTTCTCTCTTAAGGTAGGATTAAACATGGCAGAGCGAAGAAGCCTGCCGATTTCTTCCTGGATCATTCGGAAGTGCTTCCGCCTGAAGGCAAGCCAAGCCACGTAGCTGCAGTAGCTGTAGAAGCTCTGGATCGAACACACAGATCTCATTTTCCCCATGTCCCTATGTCTAAGAGTTGGTACGACTCCACTAAAAACCCAGCAACCCGTTTGGCTTTGATTTTTACCACGTATCAGGCACAATCTGAAAGGGCACTCATGGTACAAAGACTCTATAACTGCCTTTCCAACTCATGGTCAGACGGCTGGAAGTCTGCATAGCTGGAAGCCTCATCCATACATCCCTACTAAAGCAGCTAAGAACAGCAACTCCCTGAGCTGACATTGAACGATGGGAAGAAGAGGATTTTTTTATTATTATTATTATTGAGATATGCTAACAGATGAGGTTAGAAACACAATTCAGGTGGATTCAATCTTCCTTAACTCCTGCCACTGTAGCTTAGGCTTGCTGCTAAATACTGAGGAGTTAACCAGAGATCACTATCTAGTTTCCCCTTCAATAATCAATGGAAAGAGAGAGATGGGATGAGTCATTTCATGGAGGTTCCTATCTCACATATCTGTTTTAGGAAAAAACAACTCACTCTCTAGCTGAGCTTCTCTTTTCCCCCATTAACTGTCAAGGGAGCCTAAGGGCCTAGTCTGACTGGACACCTATTGTTTGGGCAACTCGAGAAGACAATTCCAGTATCCCAGATCGTGATCACAGAAAATATTGCTAACAAATATGAAGTCACTCCTTCTCTGCTTACAGTAAGCAACTATCTGCTTACTGATTTTTAAAAAATAGCTTTTCACTCTTGTTTAATATCTGTGATCCTGATAGAACCCAAAAGAACACCCAGTAAATAAAATTCCTACTAAATGCGTACTTGACAAGATGATGTTACTGGGCCTGCTCAGTATTCCTGAATTGAATCCATAATTCCCATGTTTCAGAGAAATGCATCCCAGTTTGTGAAATACAAAACACACTTTGGGCCCCAGCTGTTTTACATCAATTTGCAGAAGAGCTACTACATAACAAATGTCATAAAATGCTCACTGAGCTGTATGTGGCAAGCTAGAGGAATTTACTGGCATCTAGAAATGTTGCTAGTGGCAATGATAATGAAAGGCTGTGAAATTTCATATTTAGAGGTGAAAATGGGAAATCAGTGATGAGAATCCTATAGACCAGACTTCCCAGAGGGACCGCAGGTGGTGATAGGAATTGCCTGGGCTCTGAGGGAGCCACAAAGGAACTGAAACTCCTTAGCTGCAGCCTTCAAGAGGAAAGGCTTGGACCTGAAGGGCAAAAACAGACTGCATTTTACAGAGGCAAGCTAAAGTAGGCCCAAGAGATAAAAATATTATTCTAGATACTCTGCCCTATAAGTAAACTGCTGGCAGAACCAAGAGGGAAAGGAGCAGACTGTCTGCGGTGTTTCAATGGGCAAGGAAGCGACATGTTCTCCACTAGTCTTTATATCTTTCTTACCTCAAAGAAGTGCCGATCTTTCTGTGACGATGATGTTTTTCTCCTAAGGCAGGGAACAACAGCACAAAATTAATAGCAGCAGTCGTCCTCTCAGTTCTCTAAGGAAAGTATTGAATATGACTCATGTGGCTATTGCCAAGCTGGCATTTCACCAGGGCAATAAAGTTGGTGTTGGTAAATCCTCGTTATTAGCATGCAGAGACCCACCGTCCGAGAGAAAGACAGAACTTCTTCATTGCCTCAGAAGGAGAAAATGCAAAATATTGTATGGCTCAGTTAATTAAATCTGGCAGAGAACAAAGCTGGATGTGATGAGCAGGCGAGGCTCCCTGCTACGCTATCTACACCGAGTTCTCTGCGTGGGCCTCTCAGAAGCGGCCAGCCCTCATCTAACCCAGTTTCCACTGAAGTCGATAGGAAGCCCGGGAGCTAACAACACTGGCAGAGCAACAAGCAGAGCCACCAAGGGCACTACGCCAGGACAGTGCTGGGACAATATACTGGAAAACCAGGAGGGAGCTAACCGATGGGCCTCCAAGCAGCAATGTGAAACAGGCACGAGAATGACAAAGGGTCTTTGTTAGAGAAGCAGCAACTTGCGCGGTGCAAGGCCGAGAAATGATCTCAGCAGCACTCGAGCCCAGCCATCCCCACACAAAGCCACACGATGGCCAGCACGGGAGCTGCTGCCGCAGCGCAAGGTGACGAACACATCCCCACAGCCACTCCGTGCTCTTGGAGGCGGCACAGCTCACCCTCACGGAAGGGAAGGCAATTCCCCCTGCAAGCTGAAGGATCCCCACAGGTGTGGCTACCTCCAGAGAGATGAAGCTGTGTGTCTTGCTGACTTCACCACCTCCTGAAATGCCCCGTACATTCCTGATACCATCAACAACAGATGTTCCAAATTGGTATCCCCAGCTGCTATCAGCTCAGAAACATCAATGCAAAGCAGACAACGAGGTAGTATCTTTTTATCTTTTCAGCCCCAAACCTTCAATAAACATCCTGTGGCTTTTATTTATTGATAAGTTGATCAATAGGATGACTACCTCCCCGTCACCCACCCATCCTACTTCTGCTGACAGTTCATCTAAGATCCCAAACCCCACATATTGCACAAGGGAAAAGAGGCTGACGCTGCAAGCATGGCATGGCCCTTTGCCAAAGCAGAATCTCCCATATAAGTTTGATGCCTTCGGTAGATCACTGCATTTCGCCAGAATTCAAGTCATTAGAATACTACAGTGGAGGAACCCAATGTGACCCAGGTTCCATAACCTAAACATAAACCCCAGCTTTCAGCACTACATATCTTTGCAGTGTCTTTGAACTTGCCCTTGCTTCAGCAGACAGAGAAACCTATGTGGATGCCAGCAACAGAAACTAACACTAATAATCAGAGCCAAATAAAGATGGGGTCTCCACCCATCTTTCCCCAGTCCTTTCTTTCCTTGGGTGAGGTACAGTATTAAGCTAAGACACCTGCTTGAAGTAAAGTGTCCTAAAACAGGTGTTATACTGGGAGGCGCCTCCCATGTCTAGGGCATAGTTGCTAATTACCTAGGAAAATACAGAAATGGTTATGGAAACATCAAACTTGCAATAACGTTCAGGACAGAACTTGCAAGAAATACAGGAATGAGTGAGTGAAGAGCACCATGCCTTCTAGAAATACAGTAACAGGGATTTCTTAGAGCTGACAGAGTGACGAGATGAGTTCATGTGTTAAAGTGGAACACAGCCCAGCCAAGAGCAGACAGTGCATTAAGCACAGGGTCTGCATTTAAGCAAAACAGTGTCTTCAGACACCTACAAGAACTACCATTCTGCATATGGGGAAGAAATGCTTCCTGTGCCACTTTAGCAGCTTTTGACCACAACTGTGACTCTAATTGCCTGTGGATCAAACCAGCTTCAAGGATCAGTGAGGGCTGACTCGGCTGTGTTTGTGCCACTGATGCACGCAGCTTTGGGAACACTCTGTATTTTTCCCATTATGACAATGCCCACAAGGAAACTGGCACCACAAAAAGGTTGCACAACCCCATCAACTTAAAAGGAGAAAACCAGACACACCTATTCCCTATTCCTTCCCCAGCGTTGGAGGCACAAAAGGACTAATGCTAACACACACAAATAACAGGTCTGGAGGAACTCTCTCAAATTCCAGTCTGGGATAATATCAAGATAGGATTTTTATCCTACATTTTACAAAATATGCAAGTCGTTAAGACGTTTTCCAGCCAAGTGTCCCTTTTTAAAGTTTTGGAGAAAATGTGTACATTGATGATTTCATATGAACACTTTGGCATCTGACAGATATAGAAGGGAAAAGAAATTCTCAGCACATGATGAGATTTCATTGAAATGTTGCTATGGTGAATCAGAATGAAAAAGTAAAAGCTTCAACATCGTCCTGAACCCAAAGGCATTTTGACTTGGCTATAATAAAATATGGTAAAGGTGGGACTGGCACGTCATTAGTAATTTCACAGTTTTATATTCAAACATTTTTCAGGTCAAAAGAAATTTGTCAAAAACAACCCTTGTCAGACTTTTCATTTTGACGAAGGACTTTTTCCACCCAAACACATATGTACTCAAAAAATTCCTAACTAGCTTTTACAATTAAGAGCTTTAATCAGTTCTGTCCCTTGGCTTTTGTTTTTGGCAGTTTTCATAATGGACTGGGAGTATCCAGATAGCATTTATGGCGAGACCGAGTCATCGTGGAAGAGGTTTTTACGTAACTGCAATATGGCATGGGAAGTGCCACACATTATAACATGCTCAGCATCAGCCTGACTCTGAAGTCAGCTGCCACCCTCCCATGAGTAACTCAGCGAGGTCTCTCTTCATATGGCACCTGATGTCGGAAACACTTCAAGACACGGCCTTCTTCCAGCCTCTGTGTCTTTACAGCCTGGACACCAATGGCCCAACCCATGGCCAGCCTCTAATCCCCACTGCTGTTCTGTTGCAGCTGGACTTCTGTCTTGTCTCCATCCTGGATGTCTGCACCCACTGGACAACACACGCAAGTGAAGAAACGGCAGCGCTTCCCATGTTTGCTTTCATCGCTAGTTAAGTCCCCCACCTTTACTTGTTTCTTAGTCTCTGGTCCTCGGTTTTCTCTTGGTTCCTCTGGCTTTTCCAACATTCTCCCATCCACTTCCACCTGCTTCAGTTTCTTTCTTAATTCCCCCTGTAGCTTTCTCTCCCCTCTTAAAAGCCACCGACCCAGGGAAGAAGAGCAATGGATATCCACCACTCTGGAAAGCCATGCAGGTCTTCTTGGCTCTGAGGAAGGAGGCCTACACATGCAAGGCCCCAAATCCCCAAGCATAACCTTTTCTCTCTAATCCCTTCATTTGCTGCCTTTCAGAAACATGGTCTCCTTCACTTGCCAGTACGCTTATGGCTTCCCTGACTTGACGTTAGAGCCAATTAAGGCAGGGATCAATGGCAACCAGCAGGTACATAAGATGTTCTTCTTCTTCTTATACCCCTTGCCTTCAAGATTCAGCAATTGGAAGTGGCAGGGTTGAGATCGAGAGCTGGCACTGCCATTTGCCCTGCTGATTGTGCTGACCCCAGCAATGCTTCATGGACTGTATACCCAGTAAGGCTGTGACATACCTCAGCTACAGCTTTCTAGCCTGGTAACCTGTGCCACTTTTGGAGTCAGTTATCAATGGGAGCTTCAGGAGATGGGAACACTCTCTACCTGATGGTTCCTGTGCCTCATGTGTCAATTTGGTCCATAAAAAACATCTCTTACCCTGGGTGTTCACTTCTGTCACCAAAGAAATGCCTTGGATTTGGGCTGCTGCTGCTCCTGACATAGCAAGGGTCCCCAGGAGGGAAAGCTTTCCGCAACTTACTTTCCACAAGCCATGTGGTGGTGCTCTGCCATGCCTTCTCCGAGGATAAGATTACAGTACAGCTTAGCAAGGTGAATCCTGGTCACTTCTAACTTCGCCAGGACATCATCCATTTCCTTCTCCTCTAGCAAAACGATAGTCCTGTTTAAATTAGAAAGAAAACAAGATTTTTTGACAGGTGGATCACTCTGGATAGAAGAGTGGCCAGTCCTGAGAAGTAAGAACAGTCTGGGGGCACATAAAACACCACATCATATAACAGCAACCTCAGGGGACCACACGGCAGCAAGATCGAGCTCAGACACTTTGAGTGCCACAAAGACCTGGTGGGGCCACAAGGCCTGAGGCTTGGGCCTAGACAGTCTTTCCTGCCCCGTGGAGTTTATAAGCTCCATGCCCACGGCCTGTCAGGTTGCTGCCTTTGATCCCGTGTGGCTTATGAACCCTTCCTGCAGTCTGCACAAAAGCCCTGGAGGTGCACCTGGGTGCAGACGCTGCCATCGGGCAGCCCGGAGCTGTGGGTCTGGCTCGCCTCTCTTCAAAAAGGGACCGTGGGGACTGCCTCTAAACAGGAAAGGCTGACACCACAAGCCTGTACTTCAAGGCAGCTCAGATCAAACACTAAGGAAACGCCAAGCCAAAGAGCTTTATGTTTCCTCTGCTTCCCCTGTAATCCACCAGGTTGTCTCCTCATGCCTGGGAACGCTACAGGCCTAAAAGTCACCGGCCTCTGTTCACACTCAGGAGGGCTGTTTTTATCTGTCCCGTCCTTGATGGCCTCAGGCTCTAAAGCTTTCTACAAGATCCATCTCTAATAATTAGGGCATTTACTCCGAACTTCTCAAGGATAATTGCTAATAAAATTCATCTGATTTTTCTCAAAAGACATGAAAGGATTGGAGGCCAAAAAAAAAAAAAAAAAAGAAAAGAAAGAAACTGAGTGGAAAAGAAAATGCAGGACAAAATAATAGCCCGTGTTCCAGACCTGTCTCATTTACCACTGCTTAGTTTTTGTTTTCAGAGTCACATACGTCTGAAGTGAATACTCCCAAGCTGTCTCCAGCTAGGGGGAAGCCTCATGCTCACTGCTTTGGAAAACTGGTTGGTTGTGTCTGAAGTTGTTACAAGATATTCCTGAATCTAGAGGAAGCCAAAGAAGCCTCAGGGTTGGGTTTACAAGAAGTCAGCACAGTATCAACAAAAGATAAGGTATAAAGGAGTCAAAGATGTCTAGATTCATCTTGACTTTATCTGATACATAATCCTTCCAATATAAGAAAGTCTAACGCACAGAAGCAATGATTTCTTAAGCAAGAACTGTCTTAGATTGTCTACTGAGGCACCATGGATGCTGGTACTTATACAGTGTCTTGGTTCAAGACAGTGAAGAGCTATTCAGACCATCAGGCCTGGCTTCCTGGGGACTGTGATAATCACTACAGTTTGCTTCTATCATAGGCAGCCTGGGTATTTTTTTGCTAAAGTTTGCTGGAATATGCAAACTAAGGGCAGAAATAAACAGTATTGTTTTCTATGTTTCTAAGATATCACACAAGGTCTGCAAGAGCTCAAATCAAAGACTGCAGAGCCATTAGATGTGCCTGTCCTATGGGACATTAAATTAAATTATTCCTTGGGAAGGAAGAGGGAGTTTTCTTCCTGAACAGGCAACTAACAAAAGTCTTGAACATGGGATTTATGAGATAGATATCCAAAACTAAATTGCTATCCAGTCTTCTTCCACATCCTCTCAAATATATCAGCATCTCATATATGTAAGAATTCTAATCACAAAGGTAATTTTTTGTCATCATAATTGTATTATGTAGCTATAAAATCCTTTCACAAACTCATGGAACTACATCTTTAGGAAAACGGAGTTTTCTTCTCCAGCTCCAATATTTCTTAACAGAAGACCATTCCAAAATTTTGTTCCTCAGTTGGTTGGAAACTTTCTTTCATTATCTAGTTCCAGTTTATCCCTGTGTATTTTATGTCCATTTGACCTTGTCCATATCCACATCTTACAAAATACTGTGATAAGTCTTGGAATGTCATGACCAACAGGGGAATCATTTAAACTAAAAATGAACTCAATAAAAATACCTTCTAGATGGCAAGATTAAGGAAGATATCCACAGAAGGGGAAAGACAGTACTCACTGTATCTGCTTTTAAATATAGCAGACACCATTTCAGAATTAGACCAGGTGGATAATACAGAAAATGCAAGACTTTGCACAGGTAAAGAAGGTGCAATGGCAGAAAGCTCTTCCCAGCATGATTCCTGTCTCCCTGGTCCTCCAAGTCAGCTAAGATGCTAGAACAATTAAGGAGGAACTTCAACATTAAGGAGGATCTAAATTTGTCTTTTGTCATTTTATTTTCTTTCTTTGTATTTATAGTTTTGTAGACTAATATTCCAGCTTTCTGCTCCTGCGCAGTAAGTGCCTCTTCTTTAAGTCTCTCTGAACATGCACTGCATGCAGGCAACCCTGCCGAACAAGCTGCTTTTCAGGGGAAGCAATGACTTTAAATGCAACGGTATTGTAGCATGTATCTTTGGGAAACTTAGAGCTGGCAGTTGATTCCCACCAAAGAATGAGAATCATTTTGATAGCATCACATGCCAGAACACAGTGAAAAGCCTCCCCTGGCAGGGATTATACAAAGTTTATAGATGATAGCTAATAACCAGAGCCCTCTGGATACAGGAAGAATAACCCTATATTGCAATAGGTCCAAACTTCTTTTTTGTTTCAGTCTGCTTGAATCTGCAGTGCCAATCAATTATATGAGCCATTTTGAGCTGTTCTGGTGCATGAAGTCACCTCATTGTACTTCATCATCCATGAGCAAAGGGATCATCTTGTAAACTGCAGCCCAATGCACCTCCACTCAATCTAGGACTAGGTTTTCTTTATTTATGAATTGTTCTCTGCACAATGAGAAACACCTGACAATCTATGGATGTGGAGCAAGCAAACTCCTTAAGGCCACCAGTCCTCCAACAATCTTCTTCAATCCAGATAAATCAGCTCCTCTTTATATCATGAACTGTGAAGGAAGTAATTATTGGGGGTTTTAATAAAACAGCCAATCAATTCTCAGAGACTATTAAAGAGCCCAGATCATTAGGGTTTCTTATAATCATGGTTTGTAACTCAGTAATACTTCCTCCGAAGGCATGTAACACAGCAGCTCCTAAACTATTCCTCTGGCATCCCCACTTCCACTTTGCAAGGCAGCAGATGTGGTCACACACCCTTACATGGGAACTGCTTTCCTAGCATATATTCCTCCTGTTGAAACATGTTGGTAGCACCTAAGAGTCATCAGAGCCTACTTTGCAAAGTATTTTAAAAGGAATCTTAAAGCAATGTGACCCACAGTACAAATTAACACTCAGCAACACTCAGATATGATTATTTTGTGCTCTGTACTGCAAGCAGAAATGACTGGATATTAATGTTATTACCAGGAAATGGCAATAAGGATGGTAATTCAGTCCAGGGCAGTCATGCAGATTTAGCATTCGCAGTAGTAGTAACAATTTATTCATAGTGCAATGTTACCTTGACAAGCCAAACTATCTGGTGACCCCATTGCAGCAAGGCTGGATCCAGGCACTTTCTTGAAATAGGGAGTAGGATGTTGCCATGCCACATGAACCACAGTGCACACTACTCAGAGCAAGGGCTGGAAAAGTGGGCTCCCAGAAAATTTGTGTCTCTACATAGTCATAAGAGCCTGTGTCCCAGAGAACACCAAGGCCAAAGGGGGATAAAAGGTAAGACTAAGGGCCACATCCCAGTAATCTTCCATATACAGACTGCACCAATATATACTTGTGGCTTTAGCTCCAAGCATTTTAACAAAGCCAGCAATAACAAACCCAGTTTATACACAGGGCAAGCCCTGTTATGCAGTGTTTGCTCATGCAAGTAATCCTTACTCAGATGCATCCTCCAGACTCTGACATGCAAGCCTGCCCTGGGATTCCAGATTTGCTGGGGCATGTCCTGTGCACTTACACCAGTAAAGACTCATACTCACGAAACTGGAGCTTTGGTTGTCTTTTCCAGGGCAATTTTTTCCAGGTAAAAAGATATGTATAAAATCAGTGTCATGAGGAATGCATCTAGGTTCTTATTCCTAAATGGAAGGTAGAAAAGTTTGCAGATACAAACATCATCAGGCTATTAGGAAAGAGTCTCCAGTCAGGGCCTACAGTATATAAAATACTATATATACAGTCTAGATCTATTTGTAGTAAGTACTGTATCCTGGCAGTAAGAATTTGAAGGCTTGTAGAGAATTACCAGGAGTCCGAAAGGCCTGTTGAAGGGTGGACTGAACTGGATATGACCAGAGAGGCTCCCCGTGAGCACCTTTTCTTCACTAAACACATTGAAAGGGTGGCACTCACATCACAGGAACAAGGGGGATACCTGAGATACCTCTCCCCTTCTTCAAGGACAGTATGTCGAAGGCTCAGCAAGGTCTACAGGCACCTCCCTAAACCAAGGAGGCAGTGCAGCTACTGTACCACCCTCCTGATCTCAGGGCCATGCTCTGAGACAAGATGCTCTCCCAGGTGCCTCCCTGCTCCCAGCAAGTAGGGCTGATAAGTAACAGCAGCAATTTAGGTGCTCTGCAGGGCTGATTGAAGCAGCAGCACTAGAAAGCAGCAGAGATTCCTAGCTGTGTTAGGTGCTCCTGGTGCAGCCAATGTCACTGATGCTCTCTCTGATGAACACGGAATTTAATTTGGAGTGAGTTTAGGTCTAAGTCACAGCCTACAGCTAACCCAGAGGGAAACTCTTTCAACCAAGAGTTTATTTCTCTGCACCTCTCAAGGAGGACATGTATCTGATATTGTTTCCCACCGAGCAGCATAGATAAAATGTCTTAAACCACTGGTATTCTACTTTCTGCTTCTTATAAAATGTAACCTCTCCACTACCAGCCTTACTCATATAATTCCTGAAACAAATTTTAAATGACATACCTCATAACTGTTGTGAAGGACAGCATGCGATGTGCCTCACTTTCCTGTCCCAAAAACAAAGCAGCATCTGAAAACAAACAGAGGAGAAAAACTGCATCTTCTCCACAAATTGTCAGTTGTGAATGCAAATTGTTTTCTAGTCTATATGCTGAGATCAAATACCAGCAATTACTCACATTTGACATCATCCAAGGTCACATATTCGTCTCGCACTCGCTTTAACAGCCTACGAGATTTTCCCTCTTGCTCAGCCAGCCTTCTTCCAGTGAACATTGCAGTGCATACATCTTGAAAGATGCTAGTGGTTCACCAACATAGCATTTAAGGACACAGTGTCAATACCAGTCAGAGAATAATCTACCTGTTACATACTGCTTTCATTACATTCTATTTCAAAAAGAGAGGGAGCAAAACAGTGTTCAGTAGATACCCTGAACTAACTTTCAACTATTATAACCACAGAACAGGCTGGCGATGTTCAAGGAAACAGGGCATTTCACCTCTTAGGCTTGCGTCTGAAGTTGCTCTTTTGGTTCCTAATATAATAAATTGCGACTATGTTATTTAGATCAAAGAGGTTTTAACCAAGGAACGAAAGTCAGCTACACCAGGTCATGATTTTATAAAATTAATAATAATAATAATACTTTAATCTTTGAAGTGCCTTACAAAGATGAATTAATTACCTCGCAATACTCTTTCTATGTAGATGGGAATTATTACCTCATTCTGAGCAATGTGGAAACAGCAACAAAGATGCTGAAGGACTTTACCAAAGTCATACCAAGCTAGTGCCTGAGCTAGCCTTCAACATCAGGCATGTCTGGCTCTGTTTTTTTTTGTTTAGACCACTCATCCACCCTGCTGAAATGACAGGTGTCTTCCTGTTTCTTGTGTTTTGTTCAGACATGATCCTCAACAATGGACAAAAAGATTCCCACCCGAATAATGTTGCTTCTTTTGGAGACGGCTTAGTTGAATTGAAATACCTGTTCAATGCCTGGCCTCCCATTTCCTGAAAATGAATATTTTTTCCTTTCTTGAGGTCTTCACTAGATTCTGAACTGGAGCTGGAATACAGAGGGTGAACATTTAGTAGTATGCATTTCAATCACTGGCAGCAGTGCAAAGAGGGCAATATCCCATGATACAAAAGGTTACATCTTTGGGCCTCCACCTAACTCTTGGATTGTGATGAGATCAATGTGAGACCTTCCTTTCAAAAATTAGAAGCAAAGAGTAGAGAGGCTTCCCAGGGTCCTCCTGCTGTGTCTCCTGCCATCGTAAGCACTGTGTCACATAAACCCTTCAAGTAATCAGTATCTCAGGTGGTTTTATCCTCACTTTTCTGGTGCTGACAACACCAATGAATAGCCACTTTGTTTTAATTTCCAGCCTGCATTTTTTACAGTAGATTACTACATATACTCTCTTGGCCTTCAGCTCAACTAGTCCTTTCCCCTTGTGGAGGTTCCCTTAATTCACCATTCTGTGTTTAGGCAAAAATTATTTTGTCCCTAAGAAAGCTCTTTTTCTTCATGGTAAGGCTTTGAAGAAGCAAATACATCTGAAAATTTCATAATATCCCACCACTATCCATTAACTGAAATTAGTAGCTAGAAAGGAGAGTTGATTGGTGTTGACTCAAAAACTCTGTCTGTTCTTTCTAAAATTGGTGGGAAGGTAGAATTGGGTTTTGCCTCAGAAAATAGATTTTAAGTGTCATCTGTTCAGTACCAGAGCTGGTCTCTGAGATTATCACAGGAAAAGACAGACAGGAGTTAACTGGTGAAGTCATGTCCCTCCCAAGGGAACCACGAGCCAGCAGCGTCCCAAGCCTAACAAAAAAGGTGACTGGAGCTGCCCAGACTCAGACTGTGGAAGCTAGGCCACAAGGGACAAGGGGAGCAGCCCAGCTCCACCGTGACGAAGCCTGGGGAGATGCCGGACTGGCCAGGGAGACGGCAGCAGAAACCACACTCCATGGCACTCCCTGCCCAGTACTGGACAACAGGGGATATATATTCTGGGATTTTTTTTCCCCCTATTGCTTCAGATGTATAGTCATTTCTAAGGGCCCTCTGCATTGGATTCTGATTGAGGACAGTATGGCAAAAATCACACATTTTTGATCAGATGCTACGGAACTCTATTATCAAAAATAAAAATAAAAATCAAGTATGTAAGACTACTTGATTGATCCTACTGTTAAAGTTCAGGAAAAATATGATTAGGCTCTGATTTTACCTTACTTGGAACTGATGAATCAAGACCTAAATCTGCATAATTTTAACTGAACATCATGCTTTACCTTTCAAATTCAATTGTGTTAGTATCATCTTTCCAGTACCAAACGCCTGGGGTTAGCTTTATCATCTGCAAAAAAGCCAGCATAGAGAATGCCTGTTATAAAATCTGTCCTCATGTTCTCAGCCCGACTTAACAAAATATTTACAATACAAGCGCTATGCATATTGGTCACTTTATGTATCTCTTAAATCTGCTTTTCACCCACGCCTTGTTTGCTCATAAGTTGCTCAAACAGAAATTCTTTGAGCTAAAAGGCTGACACACAAGAAGGAGAAAAATAGGCAGCTATAAAAAAGATCATCTATCCTTCCATAATTCTTCCAGCTTACAAAGAAATAATTGAAAGTTTGCTAAGGAATTTCTGTTCTTTCATACTCAGTGAACCAATAAAGATTGAGAAATCAAGTGGAGTTATGTATTATACAATACTCTTATTTGTTTTTGATAATATTTATGTAGTTTTGGTGAGTAAGATATCAGGAGATATTTAATCCTTTTTTAAAGGTTACATTTAAAAATTTGTGTTTTTTATCTATTTCAATATTTTTAAAAGTGGAATGTGTTATGCACCATTTTTACTGATTTTTTTAAGAATTTACAATAAAGAGAAGTTAAACCCTTCAATGAACACAGCAACACTATGAGGAACAAGATTTTACAATACCCATACATTAAAAAAAGGGAAAAAAAAAGAAAATAAATAAATGAAACTTATTAGCCCTTCTGCTACCTCATCTGTGCGAAAGTCTTGCAGACTCTTAACAATTATGTGCAAGTCACCTTTAAAATAAAATGAATCTTACTGTCAAAATCCTTTTTCTGGCTATAAATTGAAATCAAGGGAAGCGCTGAGGCCTTCTGTAACTTTTGGCTATTCTCACTCTGACAGATCACCACAGGCTCTCACCAGTTCTTATTCAATGTAACATGATCAGAGAGTGATGGATATGAAACACTAAAATCATCTCATGTCTGTAGCAGGCAACAGCTCAACCACAGAACTAACTATTTGGGACCCATGGCTCTAATCCCTTGACCAAAAGTGATTATTTAATCCTGTCTTCTCTAGTCTGTGGTTCCAACTTCCTAATGCTGGTTTACAATCCTCAGGTGGAAGGACTTCAGCAAAAGCTGTATCTTTATGTGGCATGCAAGGAACTACAAGATATTATGAATACCACGAAATCAGGAACCATGAGAGAAAAACAGAAAATGGTGGCACCACAGAGCCTAAGAAGAAGGGAAAAATACCACTCTGGTGTCTTCAAAATGTCCCTCAGCAGCTTCTCACTAACACGAATGAGTGCTGATTACTGTTTTAATCCAAATACACAGAAAGTTTTGTCTTGACTTTTTATTTTCAGAAACGGACACCTCCAAGTGGTAGTGGTTAGTGATATGGTCAAACACCTTCTGTGGGAAGCTCTTGATTGAGGCCTCCTATCCTTCCTGTGGGTATCTTTAAACCCTTTTAAGCATGCAGCACTTGAGACAGCAACATCTCGGGTGGCTTCCAAAACATCATGACCCTGTGGGCACCCCCACCTCAGGCCTCCACCACCCCTCAGCTTCCAGGGCTGTCAGTCTTGGTCCCTGTGATGCTGCAGCCGTGCAAGGCTCCACCACGGCCTGATCCAGACTCCAACCCACAGGCTATCAGCTGCCCAGGGCAGGCCCCCAACCTGCGGTGCACCCGGACATCATAAACATCAGAGGAACCGGGAGGAAAAACCCCAAGTTCTGACTTGGCCTTGCAGAAACATGCTGCAAAAATATCCCCCACTGCACATGCACAGCCCCAATCTCACTTTAATTCAAAATAAACAACAGGCATCATGGAGCTACACACAAACCTCTTCCATGGTTGAGGGAAAAAAATGGCTGTGTCCCCTTCACCCCTCTGCCAGCAGCTCCCTGCAGCCTCACTGCGTTTTCACAGGTGGGCAGGTCCTTTACTCATGCAAATCGCTTTGCAACTCCATCCAACTTTGAGATAGGCATGCAGGAAGGACATAACCAAAGAATAAGAAGCATTAGACTATTTTCGGCCAGCAAACAGCCCCTCAGATCTCCTTTTTATAATATGCTGAGAGGCTCTAGAGGAGGGGCACGTGTGAGCCACAGCAGCGGGAGCTGCAGGAGCTGGAGGGACTCACGGCACACGGTGCTTGCAGGGAGGCTGCTGGGACTGTGGGAAGGGCACAGCTCCCGGTCCTGTTTACACCAGTATCCTGGTAACCCCCTGCGCCCTGGAAACCACAAATCCCAGCACGCAAAACACCCCCGGCCTGCTCAGAGCACTGGGACGTTTCCACGCAGGGAGACCTCAGCGGTCATTCTGCCGGCTTTACTCAAAGGCAGAGGTGCAGAGCTTTTCCTGGGTCCTGGAAGAGGATTTGCAGGACTACCATGGGCACCCATTCCCTCTGTCATGGCCATCAGTGTCTGTACAGTGCTGGGAAGGCTGAACATTCTTTAATTTGGGCTTTCGCATGATCAAAAAGTGTATTTGCTAAGTCCTCATGTCTCCTGTGACACAACTGAAGGCCACACATGAGCAGTCAGCTCAAGATTAGCAAGTTCTGTCTGGAAGTAATTCCCACGTGCTAAGACAGGTTGCTTAAGGGCATGATTTCAAGGTAGTATTTTTAATCTTTGGGATATTTCTGAAGCAGAAAATGTTGCATGCCGGCGGAGATAGCAGTGCTGCGATTCACAGTGGAACAGTGTCAGAACTGGTACTGCTTATGTTGTCCTCCAAATCAGTGCAAATTATATTGACAAAAGTAATTTCCTTGTCAGTAGAAACCAAGTGTATATGATGGGTGAGGTTTTGTGTTGCAGCTAAGCCAAGCTAATAGCAACGTGTTGATGAAAGGTTTTAATTCTTTCCATCATTTATGTTAGCGTGACTCCTAATCTTCTCTGCCTCCATAGCAAGGTGGCTCCCCAAACTGTCAGAAGAGTAACCCAGCAAAAAATAAATGAGTTGATTTCTGTCGATTCGGTTCATTTAATTATTTACACCAGTTCACTGTGGACTCAGGAAGGGCAAGAAGACGTGCAGATGAAGGTAAAGGAACCACTCAGCTGTGACGTAAAAAACATTCTAGCTCAGGTATAATGGAAGAAACAGAGCCTAAAACCATTTCACCAGTACAGCTACATTAGATGCCATATGTGCTTTGAAGTGGTGAAAAAATACCTGATTTAAGACTTTAGACAGGTCAACTGAATGAGAGAGAAGGAGCATTTCCTATGTTTTCAGCTCTTAAAGCCCTTACTTTCAGCTCCCTATCTTTGCTTCTGCAGGTACCCTTTGCAGTTTGCCCACGCAAACACAATCTCTCCCTGAAGAACTTTGAACCATTCCCCCTGAAAATTCAGCTCCGACTGTGTTCTCTACAGTGACCTTTTTTTGACAATCATATTGTGTACGTTGTGTTTCCAGTTGCTACTGCAGGCTGCCAAGGATATTTCCGTGACTTGGCAGCCAAGTTACGTGTTTAAGAGGATGAGAGAAGCAGGTTTGGGAACGGCCTCAGCTCTCACCCATCCCAGCAAAGCAGAGCACAGGCATGCTGCAAAAGGAGGATCTCCATCAGGGAAAGTGGGAGGATGGACCTGATGGTTCATCAACCGATAGTTTTGTTGAGCAGCGCTGTCATCAGCTTCCGGAGACCGCTGGCCCCATTTGGCTCCAGTAAAAGTGATACCAAGGAACCAGCAGAAAAGCAAAGGGCACCGTGGCGATATTCAGGGCCACCTGTGTTGCAGCTTGCTGCATGTTGCAGGGATACAAGTGGCACTAGAGTTGGGAGTAGATTGGCATAAAAAGGTGAGAGAAGAAATGGGGAGAAACTAAAATGGGATTATATAGAGGGAAAGAAAAAAAAAAGTTAATATAACGATTAGAACCAAGAGCTAAAGAAAGAGCTTGCTGGGTAGGCAGAGAAGACCTGGGAATCAGTGTAGCAGGCAGAAGAACAAGGGGGGAAAGAAGACAAATTTGGAAGGAATCTGTAGAGAGTGGAACAGAACTGGTTTGGGCCAGACACAGATGTCAGGACAGTTACCCTGAGACTGGATGAGTTACTGGGCCAGGAGAAGGATGTGATGGTGGGGAATCACTTTGAAACAAAGTGCCTGGCAGGGGTCTGCCTTGCGCTCCCCTCACTTCCAACAGCCTTTGAATTTCATGATTAATAAGATGATGTTAAATGAGTATCAGCACAGTTCCCAGCCCTGGAACTGGAACCAAAGAAGACAAAGAACAGGGGTGAGACGTATAGAGGTGCAGGGATGGAGCGTCTGGACAGGGATGTGGAAGGAGCTGAACAGGATCACCTGGCTATTTCTCTGTGATTGGCCTAAGCTGAGATGGGGACAAGCTCGGAAAGAGAAAATTCTCTTTCCTATCAGGGAGGAAAAAACAGGACTAGAACAAGCTGGATAGTCTAGTGATTGAAAGGGAAAAGCAAAATGGGGACTGGCCAAAAATGGGGACTGTTTTTTTCTTCAGGCTCCTTCCATTTCCACATCTCATCTTTTACCAGCTCTTGGCAAACACTTGGATGTTCAGATGCAATTCTGCACCCCCACACTGAAGTGCTTGCTGGGGGCAAAGGCAAACACTAAGCACTGCGTCCAGGCTGGCGGCCCAAATGGGTATCAGCCTGAAAACAAAAGATTAAAAACCTGCGAGTGTGAAGGGGGTTAGCATCTGTCAGATCCCTGCTTCAGCTGTTGCAAAGAATTGGAAACTGCAAAATGAGCGTGACAGAGGATTACAAGAAGTGAAATTAATACGTAATGGTTCAGGCAGTTGAAGGCTGCATGGGAAACGGAATTCTGTAGGGGCTTCAGTCACAGAAATCCAGGCAAATAGTTTGAGCCCTCATTCACTCTCATGACCAATGTTTGTGCTCTTGTCTTTCCTGAGTGAACTGCCTGGCATCGTGCGAGGCTGAAACGCAGGGCTGAGCACCCACAGCTGCGGCTGAAGTCAGTGGGAACCGTGCTTTGAACGTACACGGAGCTGCATAACATTAGGCTGTCTGGAAAATCAGTTCCTTGGCACTTCCACTCGGAGACTCCATAATAGACAGATGGCGTTTTGATTTTGCTGTTGCATTTTACCACCTTGCCTCTGTGGGAATTATA